GTTGAATAAAGGAATATAGGGATTTGGAATAAATCTCCCAGTGTCTGACTTGGGCAGTTGGCTACACAAAAATGCTCCTTTTTTTGGTTGTTGGGAGCAAAAGGAAAGGAAAATGGTGACTTCAGTTTTGAATATGCTCAGAAGAAGCATCTGTATTTTTACTGAATATTTCATTGAAATCAAAAAGGCAAGTGGATAATATGGATTTAGACCTCAGAAAAGAGGTCTGGGCTGGAGAAATAGTAGAAAATGTCAGTGGCACGTGTATGACAGTTTACACCAAAATGTCAGTGGCACATATGTGATCGTTGATACCTAGGACACAGACACAATTATTGCAGAGGTCTTATTAAAGAGAGGTTCACATACCAACCTTAGAAAACACAGTATACAAGAAACAACAGAAAAAGATGAGCCCACAGAAAGAAGAGACTAAGAAGACCAAGAGGAGAAGCCTAAACTAACTGTGAAGCCCTCTATCCAGAAAATGTAGATATCTCAGTTAAAAATTTGCAAATGGACTGGAATGTTGCTCAAGTGGTAGAACACCTGTCTAACAAGTGTGAGACCCTGAGTTCAAACCCCAATACTGCAAAAGAAAATTATTGGGCTGGAGGTGTGGTTCAGGTGGTAGCACCTGCTTCACTAGCTCAAAGCACTAAGTTCAAAATCTAGTACCACCAAGAAAAAACAAAAGAAGAACATGGGGCTGGATTGGATGGAATGTGTAGTTCAGTGGTCTAGCATGTGCTTAGCATGCATAGACCTTTGGTTCATTCTCCAACACCAAAAAGAAAAGATTGCAAATGATACCTCAGTACAAGATTGCAAATAATTTCTCTCATTATGAAAAATGTGGTATGTATGTATTTATTTAGAGATCTTGCCATGTAGCCCACACTTGCCTTAAACTGCCTCAGCCTTCTGAGTGCTGGGATTACATGCATCAACCACTACACTTGGGTAAAATTGCAATATTTTTAAAATAATTTAAAATTAGTGGTCCAGTTTTAAACCACTGTTGCCCTTTGAGTATTCAGGCTTGAATCTTGTGACTAGATCTCCAGAAGTGAACAGATAGTCACACAAAGACATTCAGCATGGTATAATCAGATGGCATGTTTTGTTTTGTTTTCTTGGAAGCTTGTTTTAGGTTTGGAGAGGTACAAGAAGAGGCATAGGTGTGTTTGCAGGATGAATCAGCAAAGAAGCCAGCATTCGGGATCCTAATGAAGAATAATAAGAATGAGGGACATTTCATTAACTGGTCACATCCCACTTTGGTTGCTAAAGCTGATGTGAGCCTCCTACTTCTGGAGGCTGTTGTTATGGCCTGCATTTGACCCAAAGCGGTTCTGGAAGGAGAGAAGCAATACCTCAGGCACTGAAGAGCTTTCATTACTTCCTGCTGCAAAGCTTTGGAGTGAATGAAAGAACCTCCGAAGTTTTGAATCTTGCAGTGATGAAAAGAGCCAGTTACAAGAACCTGTGAACACTTGAAATCTGCTGGTAGACCAAAGGGTAATGGAAGGGGTAGAAAAGGAAAACACCACAGAAGGTGCACTAGGAAACTGCCAGATTTCAGGAGGGTGGAGGGAGAGTGACTTTGGTGGAACAGCATTGTGCTACTCTCCTGTGAGTGCCCACTGCTTCTCCTGTTTGGTCCTGTTGCCCTTTCTCGGTTTTTGTTATTTTGTGTTTTTGCAGTGCTGGGGATTTCATCCGTGGCCTGCTAAAATGAAGAAATTATAATGACCTTTAACACTCAGCAGGACTGCACCATGTAAATGTATTTCATTTGTTAAGTATGTTTCATGCCTTATTTCAAATAGCACTTTGAGGATCATATTCACACAAAGCATTATCATGTAGCAGCTGGTCACCCTTTTCATTACAGCATCAGTACATTTTTCTTTGGAAAGTTCTTGCTCAGTGATATGGCCAAGCGGCTGCTTGAGAATGAATGATTTACATTGCTAACCAGTAAAAATGAAGAAAAAAAGCCAGTGATAAAAGCAAGGCAGAGGCAGGATTGAAATAGTTGATGGTTAGCCCTCTCATAAAATACGAGGTTTCACCCATATTTGTGCTCACCTTCACAAAATTGTTATCATTTGATGTAAATTCACATAACTGAGAAATACACTGTTCATGCAATAACATCTTTGTGGTTCTGAGCCAGTGAAATGTCTTCTCCTGCATATTAAATTGTTTCAAGACAGAGGAACAAATAGGAGGGGCACCATTATATCATCATTTCATAGGTGCATCTGGAATTGACACAACCATTGATTGCTTTAAATGTTTTTAATCCCAAAATCTAGAGCTGCATTTCTTTAGGTAAGGACTTTGGAAAACAGGAGACAAATAAGAATGTAGAACAAAACTTTCTGAACTCTGAACCTTAAACTTGTTGAGTCTGAAACTGTTTTCTGATTTTTTAAAACTTTGGAGAACTTACTCAGTTCTCTTTTTTTTTTTTGCTATTCTGGACTAGTCACTCTAAAGAAATCAAGATAGTGATGGCTACTGTAACTCATGTTGTTTTTTCAAAAGCCCATGCTGTGTCCTGAATGCAGTTATGCTGCATAACTGAATGAAGTTAAACCAATGGATAGGATCTGTGATGTAGTTCCAGTGGTAGAGTGTAAGCTGTTTACCGGCTGGACCTGGGTGACTGAAGCCATAAAAGAATGGGTGAACTACTGAATCCTGCTCAATAGCCACTTTAATGAAGTATACTTTGCTTTTTATAAACTCCTTTTATACAGAGAGCATATGGTCAAAAAAAGCATGCCAAGTATTACATGTGAAGGTTACATTAGTACAGGGAAGCACAGTTAAAATTAACTCTTTGTTATGTCTCCTTTAAAATGGGAACAGAGAAGCAGAAGCACACCATCAGCATAACTTTCTTATTTACATCTGAAGGACACGAAGCCATCTGGGAACCTTGAATACTGTTTTTCTGGATGTCTGGCTTTCTCACAAGGCCAGATACCAACTCACACAGGCAAGGTCTGGTCTGAGACTTTTGCCTCAGTTCCTTGGAGCTTTCTCACAAGGCCAGATGCCAACTCACACACACACAGTCTGGTTCCGAGGCTTTTGCCTCAGTTCCTTGGAGCTTTCTCACAAGGCCAGATACCAACTCACACAGGCAAGGTCCCACTACTGGCTCCGACAGTAGAGCACAGGCTTAACATGCCCAAGGCCTTGGGTTCAATCCCTAGCACCAAAAAATAAAGTAAAATAAAGATAATTCCTGGAGGTCAATTCATGTTACAAAAATAATTTTACACTTGGGTCTGCTCCTATCATCACAAACAAAAATCCTACCTTGCAACTTTTGGAGTAAGTAGAAGAACAGAAATACTGTGTTATATAAATAGCCGTTAAATTGTGCAAAAAAAGAGCATCAGAATTGATGTGCACTTACTTACATGGCTGCTATCTAAAATCTTGTTAGATTAGCAGTTCCACATAAGAAAACTCTGTGTGCCATATATCTCTTGGGAAAATTTTCTCATATCCCTTTATAAGTAAATGATCCTCATTTAAGTTGCCCGGTAGCTGCTGTAAATAGATTCCCTCTCCAATCACTACAGCCCCTAACATTGATACTGAGCACGCAGAAGCTCCTCAAATTCTCCAGCTGATTCTCAGAGGGTTGAGATTAGAGTCATCCTGAAAGGCAGGTTCCTAAACTCTGCCTTTCTCCTTGTGGTTCCTAATGTTGCAAGATTTATAAGACTCTTGCTTTTAAATGTATAAAGCCCTACCATTTGCATTTTAATGTGAATTTTTGTTTTATTTTGGAAATGTTTATCTAGAACAAAATTTGTGCTCTGAAATCAAGGGCTTTGGTATTTCCTTTTCCTCCTTGCTTTGCCTCTGTTTCCATTCTATTGCTAAATGTTACTAATAGTATCTCATTGATTCTTTAGCTGGTGTTTTAAAAGTCTCAAATCATAAAAAGACTAGGGAAAACAGTGTCTGGTGTGATGCAGTCCAATCTGTAATAGATGACTGGTAAAGTCATGACTGTCTGAGTATGGGGAGCATGTCTGGTTAAGGACGCTTGATTCTTTTCTGTGGTAATTTTCCAGACCACTCTACCCTCTTACCCAAACTGTACCAAAAAGGTAATACTGATTGCATTCGAGTCTAACTAGAATAATAATAGGAAGAGTGGCTTTCATTTATTGAGTCTCTCTAAGTATTAGCCTCTGTGTCAAAATCCAAACGCTCCTAATAAAGCCTAATTCTCCTGACCTCCCTGAGCCATGTTATACGTCTTTGACAGGTGAGGAGCCTGGCCTTATGTTAAGAGGCTGGCCCAAGTTCACACAAACAATAGAAGCTGAAGCAAGGTTATCAGCCTAAGCCTGTCTGAGTCAAAAGCCTTGCCCTTAAACTCTTTTCCTATACAGCAAATGCCCCTTATCTGGGGGAAAAGGGAGAAGTGTGCATGCATTCGTGTGTGTGTATACATACATGCAAACAGATGTGAGCACTTTCAAGACGGAGAAAAGAACTTTGGCATAATCCCAATATTTTACTAGCATCCTGATGTGGACCACAGCCTTACATATTATATTACAGAAAGAGAAATAGAACCAGAAGAGACAGGGGTTGGAAAGCTTCCCATTATTTCAGTGCATGATGATGAGGTGCATCATTTAACCTCTGAATTCTTGATTTGTCTCTGCACATTAGAGGTTTAATTATCCATGTTAATGAAGGCAAACCAGATGTGAATAACTCCATAGAGCCAGTAACCTAAGGACGATTTCAGTGGCATTTAGCCATTTGTATGTGACTTGTTTGGGATAGATTTATTTTCCTAAAATCTGTTTGCCTGTCCCATGAGCAAAGATCAAAGTGGTTTATTGATAGGGGAATATTTGGCAGTTATTTTTAGAGGGATAGCTTTTAAATCCACTTAAAAGCATAGTCTCAGACCTGCTGACACCTTTTCTTTCTCTGAATTCATTTAGAACTTATGCTGTCAGGAGGATAAGAGATGCCTTCAGAGAAAATAAAAATGTAAAGGATCCTATAGAAATTCAAGCTCTAGTGAATAAAGCCAAAAGAGACCTTGGAGTAATCCGTCGACAGGTAAGAAGACTTCAGTGCTGTACTGTTTTTCATTAATGGCCTTCAACATTGACATTTTCCCCTTGATTGGACATCACTGATTTTGGTGTTTATGATTTACACAGACATAGAAAGATGAACTATCATATATTCGAATTCAAGGACAACATAAAAGAAAATACCAGTTTTTCAGAATTTCCAGGAACTAATCCTTCTGGGAAGCTGAGCTTTCATGGTTTCCTAAATGTTGATGCGTTCAGTGTGAGAGAATTCAAGATAATGACTGGTTTTCAATCTATATCTTTGTAAGATGTACCGCATGTGCATATGTGAACATATGTTGGAGTATAAATGTATTCTCCTTTTCCAAGTATTTTTTTCATCAAAATTCAAGATGAGTAGTATGGGTGATGAACCTGAATTAAGTTGCCACATGGAAGGTCTGTCTGGATACAGATGGTAGAAAGCACAACTGCTTGGATGCTGACCCGTTATAGAACCCTGAAAGGTGTTTTGTTTTCATTCTGTACCAAGGATCATGCTTTTCTCACTCATAAAGTATTGGAGCATCTGGGGCAGCATGGTCTCCTAGGTGGTGTGATTCCTCTGCAGAAGGAATTCGAGTGTCACATGCTAAAGTAACCGATTGGTTTTTTCACTCTCTGAGAAAATTGCTCTTTTCACTGCTGTTCTTTACTTTAGCAGCAGTCACACCATAAGCTCCGTTTCAGCTGTTATCTGTTTTTCCTTTCTTATTTGCAGTAAATTTGTTTGTAAAGTGCGGAGATGAATCCCTTACCATTTTCAGAGTTCTGCCATATTGCTTTGTGAAGGCCTTCCTTGGTATACTCAGGAGATGACTGCTTGGCTGACATTTCGTCAGATCTGATCTTTTCTTGACCCTTCTTGCCTGACTTGGAACAGAACTCAAACAGGAAACAACATTAAAAACTGTAGCTTGAATTTTATATCAAGATTAAGGCTGGTTTTATTGCCTACATAATGGAACATTCCCTTCCAGGATATTTCAAATTCTGGTAATCCTCCTTGAATTCTGCATTTATCTAGCAATAAAATAATTGTACCACATTCAGAAAGGCCTATGTAATGATTATTAACTAAAGGCATGAAAATATAATAGGGTAGTCAGAAAAAGTCTGGTCTGCGCATACACATGTACTTTGAGAGTGGCAGATAAATGAGTTGCCACTCTGGAATGGTGGCATTTTGCAGTTGAATTTCAAAGGATACATTAGCAGTAGAACTTAGAAAAGCAAACATCCTGAGTCTGTATTTTACATAAACTCAAAGATTCCATTTTATGTAGAAATTGGCAAGCATTCCCAAACCAGGCTGGTTTTTCTTTGGTATAAAATTGCTCAGAGTATAAAATGCTTAGAAAACAGTGCCTGTAAATAACCACTGCCACAATTTCTTGTGTTATATCTAATTTTCTGTGTCACATCTTGGTTTGAAATGTTATAACTACTCTTCCAAAAAAAGACCAGTGCTGAGGGATGACTCTCTGGTCGAATATTTGCCTGGCCATGCACAAGGCCCTTAGTTCGATTCGCAGCACCATAAATAAATAAATAAATAAACTTAAACACACACACACATACACACACACACACACACACACACCAGTCTGGGCACTGAGCTACTATCCCCAGCAAATCCACACTGAAAAACTTAAGAGGAGCATCCTTGGAGCAGGTAGATAATAAGCAAGGTGAGAGTGCCTCCCTAGGACAGCCTTGCAACTGCACCATCCTGACAGGGATGCACCCTGCCTACTTCCAGGGGCAGGGCTTCCTTAATAACCTAGTAGAACAGCATGTTTTCACCACCTCAGAGAGGTCTGGCAAAAGACAGCATGCTCATTCCAGAGTAGAAATACTTAGCCAGCTGCCTCAGTAGCTGGCTGCTTTCTGCTTACCCACTTTCATATCAAGTCTTCCTGATCCAAGTGTACCATCCAGCAGGATGACCCCGCTGTAAGCTGGTGTAAGTTGACCTTAGACCAGAAGCCTAAAATGAGGTTGAGAGTCAGTATTCTTTCACACTGGCCTCTGCCCTGACTGCCGTGGTTGCTATTTCACTTGCCTCCCTGTGTCCCCTGTGTTCTGTTCACACACAGCCAGAGTAATCTTTTTTCAAAGAAAGAATCAGATCAGGTTACCTCCCTACCCAGCCCCCTCCAGGGGCACCATAACACCCTGGCAATAAAACCTGAAGTGTCTCTGAGGTCCTTCAAGGCCCTCAAAACTCTCGTCTCCCTCACACTGTTTCCATTACCTTCTTGCTGATCCTGGTGCACACCAAGCTCATTCCCTTCAACTTCTTTGCCTCAAGCAGTCCCTTCCCAGACTCCCATGAGTCTTCCCCTTTTCACCAGGCATGCACTCAGATTTCACCTGCTCACAAGGCCTCCCTGACAATACTATCTGAAACAGCCACCCTTCTCTTATTCCTTACAGCACTTATCAGTGCCTAAAATAAAACTACTTATTACCTTATCTATTTTTCTTCCATCCCCATGAGACAGTAGGGGCCATGAGGAGAGGGATCTGACCTGTCATGGTCACCACTAACTGGTGGGCAAGAACATGGGCTCTGGGATAACCCTGCTTTCCCATCAAGTCCCTCTTCCACTGAAGCAGTCTGACTCAAGCTCTGTCCACCAAGGTGCTCACCAATCTCTGCCTCATGGTTTTGTACACAGGAAGCCCACAGCTACTTGCCAGCCACCAAACACACTCATTGTAAAGACAGTGTCCCACATGAAATCCCCCATTCTTCACCCTGCAACTTGCCTTCAGAGTGCAGCTTTCTCATTAACTTAGTCATCTCTGGTGCTGAGACCACCTGGGAAGATTTTGCAGTTTTTTAAAAAGTCTCTAAGCAAAAATTGTGTACTTTAGAGGGTTAAAAAAATAAGATGCAGGAAAGCTGGATGCGTTATTTAAGACCTCATGGCTGGACATGAGCTCCTGTCTCCTAATTCCTTAGCACAAACTCAAAAGTTCTAGAACATGAGCTCCTGAATCAGTGGAAAAGTGAAGGGCAAATATATTCTAAGTCATCCTGCCATTTTGTTCCCAAGATATTTTAAGGACTTCATCAACCTAGCTCGGCATCTCAGCATCAGACGCCATTCATTTCTCCCATCCATCCTTATATGTACAAGATGTTTAGTCCTTATTGTGGCAACCCTGAGGGATTCTAGATAGCATTTCTTATTAGCCTTCCCTTAGCTCTTAAGGATTACTCTTATTTCAAGAAGTGGCAGGTTGTTTTTCTTTCCTAGTGAGCAAGTCAGCCTCTTGCTCATTCTCCATAATTATGGCCAGACATGCACTTGTTCTTCTCTTGATGTTCTGGGACCAGCTCTCCCCCCTGAAAATTGTAGTCTGGTCAATCTCAAATCTCTTTCCAGCTATACACATCATATCCAACACCAACAGAAGTATCACCTTTTATTAAAGTGGTACTGGGGTTTGAACTCAGGGCCTCACACTTGCTAGGCAGGTATTCTACCATTTGAGTCATGCTTCCAGCCCTTCTTGTTCTGGTTATTTTGGAGATAGGATGGGGTCTTGCTTTTTGCCCAGGCTGACCTGGACCTTGATCCTCCCATTTTAAATTAACTGCCGTAGCTGGGAGACAGGCTTGTACCACCATACCAGGCTTTTTTCATTGAGATAAGGTCTCCCAAACTTTTCTCCAAGGCTGCTCTCAAACCTCAATTCTCCCCATGTCAATCTCCCAAATAGCTAGGATTAAAGGTTTGAGCTACCAGCACCTGGCTCCATTCTTCTAACTTTCAATAACCTACTGTTACTTCTGTACAAAAGGGCTCTAGAAAGACTGACTGACCCTGGCAGCTTTTATGGATTTATTCTCTTTGCCAAAAGCAAGTTCTAGTCTAGCCTTCACTAAACCTAGCTCCCAGTCAGAGAGGTTGGGGAGGCTTTTTGTGTATGGGCCAGGTGGAGATAGACAGAATGGACAGAACCCTGCCTATGTGGGGGTTTGGGCTAATAACTCTCAAAGTAGGCAACAAAGAAGTACCCAGAATAGAATGTTTCTACCTTAGACAAGAAACAAGTTCCTTAGATCTTTCTCATTAGAAGAATAAGAAAGTCATGCAGATTTTGCTTTTGTCTTTGTCCTTTGTTCCATTTTGCTGTCTAAAGGAATTTCCTCTGATTCCTACTAATAAAGGATTAGTTAGAATTGGTATCAGTTAATAGCTCCAATTTATTATAACTCTGTAGTTTGCCATACTCCATTGGTTTTTAAGCCAAAATGCATCTTGTTTTGTAGTTCTGCTTCCGTTGCTATTCCAGGTGACTTCTAAAGATCTATACCATCTCCAGCATCTGGGAACCTTCCTTTCCTGTGTAACTCATGGTGATTTTGTGTTCATCAAGAGAAATTATTTTCCAAGGATTCTGAACTAGAGTTGTAATCTTTGTTGTATATCTCGCTTAATCATCACATATCTGTAGGAGAGCAAGAAATAGAGGAAACTGTTAAGAATGGAACACTGAACAGGATGGGATAGGAATACAGAAGTGTAGTGATCACCAAACTAGGTGTCTGTGTTTTGATGAGATTCCCTTGAGCATATGAATTACTATCACAACTTCAGTAATATTCAGCTAAGTCCTAAACAGCAATTCTTCTTGAACTATAGTATAAAAATAATACAGCTATGCAAGATTTACATGTATTTACCATTATATCTTACCACTGGGATCATTAGAGTGAAGTGACCCTTCAGTTCTTCTAAGTTCTCATACAGCAGCAAACATAGATAACAGAAATTGTTTGGAGTGCAGTGGTTGTAAAGAGAGCATATTTCACCGACCTTTTTCATAGTTAATCAGGTGAATTTATGATTGGCAGCCATATTGAGAGGTTCCAGGCCACCATCTTAAGTAGGCTACTGATTTAGCACTAAATTTGCATCTGAATACTATTTGGTTACCCTATCAAAGATAAGAGGTTGCTAAAATAAGCATTTATAGAAGGACTGCATTCAGCAAAACAAGATTTCTCTATAATTCAGGCATTTGGATAAAGAAACACATTGTTACTGTGTGAATTTACAGTAAGAGAGATAAAGTGTTTATGTTCTAATTGTAGATAGTGTCAGGATTGTGGAATGACACTAATCTTGTGTCAACTTCCCCATGCTCAGTGTTTTATAACCCAGTGACTGTTCTTAAGCTAGTGCTTTCTTTAGGCAGCCCAAATAGTGGAAGTATTACAAACCAGTTGTAAGCAATTAGGAGTAGCTAGTATGAACGAAGGGTGTGGCTCAAGTGTTAGAGCACCTGTCTATCAAGCATGAAGCCCTGAGTTCAAAACCCAATAAGGGAGAGAAGAGAAGAGCAGATAGTATGTATATATAGCCATTTAAGATAAAAGGGGTTGATACTATTATATGTAAATAGTCTTATTAATCTGAGACAGTTCATACATGAAGTATTTTCAGTGTTTCTTAGCTTATTAAATATTTTTAGGTCTCTAAAAACAAAATAATTTGCTCAGTTTATTAGTATTTTGGGTGGTGGTAGGTGTGAGTCTGAAACTATTATTTGTTCTTTTTGCTATTTCATGATCATCTTTAAATGACCATTCAACCCCAGTACCATAAAAAAAAAAAATGACCAAGAGAACTATCCACCAATTAATTGTAAGCAGTGATGCCTTCTGTTCCTGCCTGTCACTGCCAGCACACTCAGTGGTGATTAAAACCTGAATAAAAGGGCAATCTTCCCCACAATTCTCATCCAGGGCTTGTTTTTAGGTTTTGTAGGGTAAGAGACAGTGAACCCTCCATGTATACATTCAATTTAAGTACTAATTTGATACCTTGGGGACACTTCTAAGTGTACTTGGCAGTTGTTTGGATGGAATAAAGGGAAGTCAGTGTCTAGGGGCATTAAAAACAAATGAACAGAATTAT